TTTTAATTATAATAGAATAATAAAATTCCTGTAGTACTAATTGAATTTTTCGGGTCATGATCACCAAAAATGTTTTATTTTTTGCTAATATATTTCACATATGTCATCGGACACAGTTTTTCAAAATAGAAAATATCTACACGTTTACTCAGAAAAACCGTTTATTTCAGACAAATGGAGTATTTATAAGGATCTAAACTAAGGATTATATTACCGGTAATATCTAAAGAAACTACAATTGTTTTTAAAAACTATTTCGTAGTACATACTTTTTTATTCAATATTAATATTTCCTTTATATCAATCACTATGTGAAGCCACGCACGTGCACATACACTAACATAAAGACAATTTTTTGGCATAATCACAGATATTGATGATGATGTTCTCCTAGCCGATTCAGGCCACGGCGGCCTATCTCATTGAGACTAGCCAACTGCGCAGGAGATATTATAGTGCACAAGTGTACGCGCAGACACAACGTGCACTCTCTATTCCTGTCACTCTCATATTCTGGTGGGACGACTGCTCGACACGACCAGTGAGAGTTAAGGCGCAGGACCGACGGCTTTACGTGCTCTCCGAGGCACGGGGGTGAAACACCGCCAACTTCCCAACTCCGGGCTGTTACTGAGACTTACTATACAGAAAGACTCAATAACTAAACTTGGCCCGACCCAGGTTCGAACCCAGGACCTCCGAGTGTGCAGCCGTACATAGTGGCTAGCATCCACCACCAACCACCGAGGCAGTCGATCACAGATATTATATTATACTAGGCATCATAACATTAAGGAAAGACTACGCACACTATAACCTTTCTACGATTTTCATCAACAAAATATTTAAGCTGTAGCAACAAATAATAAAATTCACTTTGTATAAAATCGATAACCTATTGAAAAAATACTCCATTATTTACCAACAACATCGGAAACCGAACGTACTGTCATGTACCTGTCAGATAAAAGTATTTTTTTCTTAATCCGCCCCCGAACTGCGGCACGCGCTCTTTTACGTTATTCCGATTTTTTTGCAATGGAATTGATTTTTTAAATAACTAGGTATTGCATTCTATAATATATGATGTTTTTATATATTTCTTTTATTATAAGAAGTCAACTCAAAAACTTATTATATTTTGAGTGAAATGTTAATCATTTAAACAAATATGCATATTATAAATAAGTAAATTTTGTAAGTTTGTATGTAGAGAGTAATCTCTGTTACTGTTGATCTGATTCTGGAAATTCTTTCACTAATATGATGTTACATTGTCGAGTGTTATTTTCTAATTCGAAATGTGTTTAAGTATTTACAGAAATCATTAACTTTAATTGAAGACAGAATAAAACTGGCCGAGTTCCTTTATTAGCATATTTATGTATGACGATATCATTTAATTTTAAACGGTAGGAAAAAAGTTATAATATGTATGGCAATAGGTCACCACAGGCGCAAACGAGCGAAGCGACGGTCACTAGTAAAATATAAAGTCTATACATAAGTGATGTTAATTACCATTTTATTATTATAGAAATAACTAGTGGCTCATTCTCGCTTCGCTAGGGTTCACCTCTAGGAAAACAAAAACACCTATCCCACGGGAATCGTACATTTTCCGAGATAAAAAGTGTTATTTCAGACTCTAATCTATCTCTGTGCCAAATTTCATCCAGATTCGTTCAGCTGTAATGGCGTGAAAGAGTAACAAACATCCATACATACTCACAAACTTTCACACTTATAATATTTAGAATAATACGGATACATGTTCTAGTGTATTCAGCCCATTTTAACGTCCCACTGCTGGGCACGGGCCTCCCTTCAATACGAAGGGGGATCAGGCCATAGTCCACCACGCTGGCCAAGTGCGGATTGGCGGACTTCACATGTCTTTCGAAAACTTGTAAGTTTTTCTCATACATGCACCTTCTTCCTTTCCTTCACCGTAAGGCAAGTAGTAATCGAGTTAGAAATGATTCGCACATGAAAATATCAGAGATGCGAGACCCGGGATTTGAACTCGCTTCACTCGGTTTCCCAAGCGAGCGCGTTACCACTGGGCTACCACTGCCTTTATTTAGTAGGATTACAATGTTGATAATTACTTGCTTCGATTGTAGTAACGAACGCACGAACTAGATCGTGCTGTATGTTGATGTCCCAACGTATTATATTAATAAATAATAAGAAATACCTGCACAAAGAGCAGCGAAAACGTATATAAAATCACAAACATCCTTAAAATTTATTTCATAGTTCATTTGAATTACAAATTTTATTTAAAAAAAATGTAAATAAATTCAATTAAAAATGTGTAAATATTTTAGCAAACATTTTGACAATTTTGTCAATTTTCTATTCGTTCAAAAGCAAACAAGCAGCAGTTCTACAAAATCACCTTGAAAAATCATTCTACCCTAAGTGGTAGATTTTTTTCTCTTTTATATGGTATCACCCTTAACTATCATGAAAATAAATTGTTGTAGGGTTCACGGTAGAATCGTGATTTATGATAAACCTCCTGTTTTTTATATAATAACTGTGATGTTTACTCATATGCTGCGAAATTTTCATAAATGAAAATCAATTAAGACGATTTATTTTATATTTATATGTATGTATTCAGCCCTTTTTAAAGTCCCACTGCTGGGCGTGGGCCTCCCTCCAATACGAGGGGGATCAGGCTAAAGTCCACCACGCTGGCCGAGTGCGGGCGGACTTCACATGTCTTTCGATAACTTGCTAGATTTTCTCAGACATGTAGGTTTACTCCTTTATATTTAATTAATAGTAATTCATGCAACACATTGATACATAATTTTAAACACTTTAACTTTTCGTAAAATATAATCGATGTATAATTTCAATTTTAATTACACTTATAAATATTAATTCCACCTTTGTAAACGATAACAATTTTTAAATTACTGTATTGATTTTGAAGTGCAATAAAGTATAGTAATAAATATCATGTATGACGATCGAATTAACATTTCCAATCCTTACTAATATCTAATATACTATATTATTTAAAGTATGTGTAATCTGTGCTAATATTAAAGAAGTTTGTTGTTTCTTTCATCGACATGATTTATAACCATAAACATGGAGAGTGGACAGTGTTTTTTTGCCTGGCCATCAGCTAAAAATGGTGGAAATTGACAAAGACAAAACAAATGTGCGGCCAGAAATCTTTATCATTTTAAAATCAGCGTAATTTTTTTTATTAATAAGTGGATATTATAAGGATATGTTTTCTAGGTGTTTTATAGCTTTTACTTAGCGAGTTAAGCGAAACGAAATCGGATCTTTTTGTTATAAATAATATCCGTCTCGAAAGATGAAACCTTAAAGTCCAAAACTAAACCAAAGATAATGTATTCAGCCCTTTTTAACATCCCACTGCTGGGCACGGGCCTCCCTTCAATACGAGAGGGATCAGGCCATAGTCCACCACGCTGGCCAAGTGCGGATTGGCGGACTTCACATGTCTTTTGAAAACTTGCTAAGTTTTTTCAGACATGCAGGTTTCCTCACGTTTTCCTTCACCGTAAAGCAAGTGGTAATCATGCTAGAAATGATTCGCATATCAAAATATTAGAGATGCGAGACCCGGGATTTGAACCCGCATCACTCGGTTTCCCAAGCGAGCGCGTTACCACTGGGCTACCACTGCCCATAAATAAAAGAAATAATTTATTTCAAATATCTTTTATTAAAGGTTTTTTTAACAAATTTAATGCTTAAACTAATGGTATCAAGCTCTCACGCACTTATATCTCAATAGCAAGTTCGAATCTCCTATTAATTTTCAGGTTTTATAAATATTGTATATCACTATAAAAATACGTATATGTTTTATATAAAAAAATTTAGGTAAGTATATATGATAGTTGCTTATATTTTTTTTCTAACTTTTTGATACTCTTTAACTCATGTTTATTTACTATATTAACTAACAATATTCTTAAGAGCTATGAACACGATAATGTAATTTATTTTTTTTAATTAAATAAACAAACCGTCATAAATCAATGTAATAAAATATAATGATTCAATATTATTTACATATACAACTTTTATTGCAAGTGCAAATATATTCATCACAATAATCAAAAGCAATAAGGCAGTATTCAGTAAAAAATGTATAAAATATATAGGTATCATAATATATTTTGTATAGAAAATTACATAATAAATTTTACAAAAAAAAGTATAAAAGATATTATAATATCTCAGTTATATGTACAAAGTGTAGCAACTTCCATGTATATGTACAACAAACACAAAACTTAAAAAAATAGTTGCCGATATCTATTTACTATAACAATATGCAGCACTAAAAATTACAACACCAGTATGTAATTAATTATAATTTAAAATAATTTTGGTAGTTTAAAATAATTTAAAAGTACAAAGAGTTTTAAAATAGACAAAATTTATTTTTCTAATTTAACAAAATAGATTTTTTCGTTAGATTTTCTTAGAATCACCCTAATGATAATACTAAAGAATTTAGTTACTATCAGGGGTTCGATAAGCTATTTTATAATAAACAATAAATTCTCAAACTATAGATAATATAGAAAGGATTCATTTTCGAATGACGTCAATATTAGAAAATTGATAAATTAAAATAAATAATCAAGGCTCCTTACATTTGTACTTAGTAAATACTTACAAGACGTTAATACAGACTCAAAATAGAATATATACGAATATTTTATTTTTTATTATTAGGAATTACAGAAGAGACTCAGTATTTAACCTTTCAACTAAAAAAATCTAAATCCTAATATATATAGCCTTTTAAGCCTTCTTTCACAACATTCACCAGATAGATTTCTATTAAGTAATAATTGACTGTTACTTGACAACTTCCCCATTAAATAATAATAATTGAAGAAAAAGAAATTTTAAAAATTGTACTGTAATGACAAATATAGTTAGTTATATAACTTAAATTTTCGGGTTCTGTAATTATATAATAATTACACTACGGGACTTAAACGCGTGAACTTATTAGTGGCTATATATCTTATTCCCGACGTTTCGACTGGATTGCACCAGTTGTGACGGACAGAACTGTCTGTAATGTAATCCATACTAATATTATAAACGTGAAAGTGTGTTTGTTTCTTTGTTTGTCCTTCTTTCACGTCGAAACGGATTGGCGTGATTTTATGTGTGAAGATTGGAGGGCTGGAGAGTGACATAGGCTACTTTTTATCGCGGTAGATTATCTAATTCCCACGGGAAAACACTGAATAATAATACAATCCAAAAAAATATTTATGATCAGAATTACTTGAAACTCGGTATTAATGCTCTTCAATATAATTAATTAAATACGTGTATTAGCATTTTTCAAAATTCATCCCATAAGGGGATAAAATAGGGGAAGAAAGTTTGTATGAAACCTACTTATTTAGAGTTTGTTTTTTATAGTTTTAGTGGGTTATGCTAGTTATTATATAAATGAAATTATGTCATTACTATATATTTTTTAAATTTCTTTTCTCCAAGGATTTTGACCAAGCTCTATGTATTTACATATAGTTTACATGCCGTTGTAGGCGGGTCCGCCACCGCCTTCTGGCACCACCCAGTTGATATTTTGTGATGGGTCCTTTATATCACAAGTCTTACCTGGAAACAAACATAATAATGTAGATTATTATATATGAATAGCCGTGTCTAACAATAGCCTATGTGTTACTTCAGGCCATAGCCTATCTGTATACAAAATTTCATCCAAATCGATCCAGCCGATTCAATGTGGGAGAGTAATAAAGAGACGTGTATACAACATTTTAATCATCCAACATAACTCAATTTCATATAAATAACTTATGACAAAGAAGGTTGATGATCATGCGATATATGAATAAATCGAAGGTAACGAGTATTGCAACTTACTATATTATAGCATAAATTAATGAAATAAAAAAATGTCAAAATACTCACAATGAATACAATTTTGTGCGTTAATTTGCAACCTCTGCCCATCTCCCGTCTCCATGGGGACGAATTCATATACACCTGCAATCATATTTTTATTATTTCTCTTAATTTACTTCCACAATACACCAGAAAATAGATCTGACAATAGAAAATGAGTAAGATGTGCTATTTGTACCTAACATGAACATTTTACAAGATACTAACTCCTAACGTCTTGAATGGAATAATTAAAAAGGAAGGGGATAAAAATTATCATATCAAAAAATACTGTGCTACAGATGTGTACTAAAAATAATCACCCTGACATTGCAAAATGTATAATGTAAAATCTCATTCAAAAAAAATCGACATACATAAATCGAGATAGACCTATGTGCTTGGTATTCCAGACTGTAATTTAATGTATCTCTGTGCCAAATTTCATCTAGATCCGTTCAGCCGTTCTGGCGTGAAAGCGTAACAAACATCCATCCATCCTCACAAACCTTCACATTTATAATATTTGTATATATGGATGTTAATGAGATGTGATTATTTACCTGCAGGACAGAATCTAGCTTCAGGCCCATCAAACTCCGCCAGATTTCTCTTCACTGGGATGGAATCATCTTGCAGAGTCAAGTGCGGAGGCTGGTCCGCTTCGTGGTTTGTTCCTATAATCAGAAACAACTAATATTAAAAACTCTTATTTCTTTTTAAAATAAATATATTAGCCTAAATACAACAATCTTTTCAGATTATTTCGCGGATTTATTTTGATATTTGGTTTTTTGACATTCGAAACGTCGGAAACCAAAAATCAAAATAAATCTGCGAAATTTGCGTTTTATTTAAATTTTTAAAATTTCAAATATTCGAGTAAATCTCATAAAGTATTATTTATTAGCCTAAGTTGTAACAAAACAATTATGTAATTTATTGGTACTCAATTTAATCTACTTTTAATATTTGCATTGATTAGAAACTCTGTTATGTGAAATCTAGATGTATGTATGTAATGTATTACATTTTAAATTACAAAATACTCTCGAGCTGGTCTAATGACGTCAACATAAGTTAGATAGTGGAATAGCGGAACTGCCTCGGTGGTGTAGTGGCTAGCATGAACGGTTGCACACCCGGAGGTCCTGGGTTAGAGTCCCGGGTCGGGCCTAGTTTAGTTATTGAGTCTTTCTGTATAGTAAGCCTCAGTAACAGCCCGGAGTTGGGAGAGTGACAGGAACAGAGATTGCACGTAGTGTCTGCGCGTACACACACACACGCGCTGCACTATAATATCTCCTGCGCAGTTGGCTAGTCTCATTGAGATTGGTCGCCGTGGCCGGAATCGGTCAGGAGAACATCATCAGTGGAACTTTCAGTTTCTACTATTAAAATTTTATTTTCGCTAAGCTCATTTGATTCATCATCACAAATCTCATACATAAGTTATTCAAAACCAGAATTTTCATTTTTTTTTTTTATAGATATCAAACCGAGTTTCTATAGTAACTATTGCAGTTCGATCATCACCTTTCACTTAAATAAACTTTTATAATGACAAATAAAGATATAGAAATAAATAATGATATACATTTAATCTAAAATTGATACCTGTTAAAGCCACTGAAGACAATAAATCAAAAGTAACAACACCATCGGGTTTGGGATATTCTATTGGCTGGAATTCCTTTGCCGGCTTCAGCTTGGCATGATCAGCTCCTGTTGTAAAAATAAAATATTTTAATTTTATTTATAAACTAGAAATTTTTATAAATTATTTAGAAACTATTTTATCAATAAACGGGCTAATGCAAAAAGAATTTTTAAAATTGGATTAGTAGTTCTTGAGATTAGCGCGTTCAAACAAACAAACAAAAATCAAACTCTGCCTCTTTATAATATTAGTATAGATTTATATATACTTAAATTAAATACTAGCGACCTGCCCTCAACCGGGTGGGTACATTCCCATGTACCTAACAGTAACCCATGTGGTCATCTATATACTACATCCAGATCCGTTCAGCCGTTCACATAAACAAACAAAAACATACACAGACAAACTTTCGCATGTATAATAATAATCTGATTGACTATCATCAGGTAAGCATTGGCTAAAATAATGCATTTAGAGAATCAAGCAAAGCCAGGGTAAATTATATATTAAAATAAATGGTTTAAAACCTGACAATTATACATATCGACTACAGTTTTATGTGTTTCTTACCCCCATGACTCAGTGTCCAAGGCTCTTTCCCCCGGACCAGAGTGGAGAAGGCTGAATAGGCGAGCCCTCCATACATTCCCAGGGATGTGTGGAATGATGGACGACAGTTCCTAACTTGCTGGAAATGGAAATAATAATAGTTAATAAAACAATATAATATATATACAATTAAAAAAAACCTATAATACCTAAAAGGTTTATAAAACTATTCAGGTAGGTTCTAGACAGGGTATATATATATTTTTTATGTTATCATAATATGTACTGGCATAGAAACCCAAAGAGATAGTTTCATTTAAAATATCAAATGTTCGCGTAGATCTAAGAAAGTACTATGAAAAGAACTTGTTGTTTTTAGACAGTCACTTTAATTTCTTTGATTTATTTTGGGTATGATAAAAACAACGCACAAATTATGAGAGGTTATTAAAATTATTAAATACAATGAAATTTCATTTACCTTCAATTCCTTGTAAACATATGACTCCTTTAGCTTATCTTCATACAAAGTCGGCGTCACGCCATTGTCATGTGTCGCCTCACCAGATAAAATAAGCTCCATCGCAGCTTCCGCGGCGAGCATGCCTGGGAAATTAAACATTTATTCAATCATTCGTTCAGCCAATCAAATAACAAATAAATAAATATATTGGGACATTAACACAGCACCATCTAGTTCCATGGTAAGCTACGAGGCCTGTGTTATGGATACCAGATACTTGATACACTACACACATTTAACTTTAAAGACATACATATTATAATTAATATAAACACCCATGACTGGAGTACAAACATTCGTGCTCATCGGCACTCGAACGCACGCAGCGGGACTCGAACCGGCGACCGCTGGCACAGCAAGTACGGTCACTACAAACTGAGCCAACCGAGTCGTCATTATATTAAATACGTGAACAGCTTAGTGTACAATAAACGAGGTCTAAAGTCAAGCTTACAATTTTTAAGTAAACACTATCTTTGTACTAATTAAACTGTGTGACGGTATTGAAGGAATCGAACCCTGTGCTCTTTGCTCCATCAACCATGTTACACACTATATGTTTATTAGACTAGCGACTCGCCCTAGCTCCGCTCGAATTCGTCCCTATTTACATTTTAATGTTTAGTACAGATTTCTTAGTGATGAGGTATTTTCGCGCAGTAAAAAGTACCCTATAAATTGACCCAGGTAACCAGCTATCATCGTATCAAATTTAATCATGATTTGTCAAGTGGATTTCTCGCGATGCGGTCACAGACAGACAGACAAAAAAAAATCTAAAAACTATAGATTCGGCTTCTGTATCGATAATAATGTCTATTTCAATAAGATTTTCCAAAAAAATATTTAATGTACAAGCCAAGTACATGTAAGGGTCAACATATAGGATACTTTTTACCCTAGGAAAATATCTCATTTCTGAAAAAAAATACAAAAACTGCAATGTAAGTGTATACTAATATGTAAAACCTAAGAATTTGACTTTTGGTCATCTGAACGCGGGCAATGCTAGTAGCTAATATAATGTAAGGGTTAATGATAATGAGGGTAATGTGAGATTATGGTCAAAGCCGAAGAACCCATTGTATGCAGGTGGTACATGACTGGCTACTGTGGAAGTATTTAGGAGTGCTAAAGTGAATGGAATAAGACCGGCTGTCATGGAGCCTTACATCCAACAGTGGACGTCGTTTAGTTGATATGATAAAATATATATATATTGATTATAATGATATTAATGATAATTATATTAATGATAATGATATTGATGATGATGATTCAAGGATTGCAACTCACCGCTCTTCATAGCATTATGTGTGCCCTTAATCCTGGGCACGTTGAGGAAGCCGGCGCTGTCGCCCGCCAGGCAGCCGCCGGGGAAGGCGGGCGCGGGCAGGCACTGCCAGCCGCCCTCCACCAGCGCGCGCGCGCCGTACGCTATGCGAGCGCCGCCTGGGAGTATCACTTGTATGTTATTTTAGGATAGAAAATTATTCTATACTATTTGGGTGGACTCTTAAAATCCACCCGACCCCATAAGCTTTGTTCAGCTTTTCTTTTTTGTTCGCAAAATCTTTTGATTCTAGAATTGTACACGCACGAATCCATCTCAAATAAAATAAAAATAACAACAAAACATAAAAATGCTCAAAAAGAGGCACGGACGTATGTCTGTGGGTGTTAGACTTATTCAAATAAAAAAAAACTATACTATCTATATTAATATTATAAAAAGGTAAAGTTTGTGAGTTTATGACGTTGTAGGGGGTAATCTTTGGATCTACTGAACCGATTTAGATGAAATTTGGTAAGAAGATAGTTTGAGACCATGGGAAGAACATAGGATACTTTTTATCCCGGAAACCATCCCTTAAGGAGGTAAAAATGGGGATGAAAATTTGTATTGGGAAGTAAGCTAGACATTATAATTTTAAGAATGGATTTTTGATTGAAATTCATATGAAACCAAACTTTAAGTATAATATATATTTTTTAAATACTAAAAAGTCACATTTGGGCAGGATGTTTTTTAATTTATATTAACCAGAAGTTGAGATATAACCAAATCTTTATATATATACGATTTACATACTTTATATATAGGTACGAAAACCGCTTAAAAAATATTTCCTTCAGATATTGCAGTAACAAATAAAGTAAGCTCAAACTCAAAATTTTTATTAATAAGTAATATCCATTAAAAACCCAATAACCCACCCACTATTCAACTCGAGTGTACCTTTTTAGCCAAAAATTACTAAAAATCAAGAGTTTTTTTGAACAAGCTTTGCATTCAAATTCATAAAATATTTTGTTAATATAATCATACTAAAAATGGTAAATTAAGTATAGATATGAAAATTAAGCCTGTTTTCAAGTTAATATAACCAAATAAGTTTCAGTTTTATTTCTCTTTTATCATGTAAGAATCTAACTTGCAAACCACAGCTAAGTAGTGAAAAAACAAATTGCTAAGCACACTGTAGCGTTAGAATTAGTCAAAAACATATGAATTAGGTATTATATAAATATAAAAAAAACACTCTTGCCTTCAAACATAGGTTTCACATATGGATGAGTCTTAAACCGCTGGAATTCTCTGAAAGGACTGAGGTATGGGTTGACATAGTCGAGTCCCACTACAAAGCCCACAGCAACTAGGGGTGCTTCGCCCTCTTCAACATTGAGATGATATATGAAGGATCCTCCGTATGTATTTTTGTCTAACGGCCACCCTATAGTATGCTCGACCAGGCCTGGTTTGTGATTCTGTATGAAAATATTATATTTTATTAAACCCTTCCAAAACACTGATTAATTTTTGATTAAAAAAGATGTAACTTGCCAAATAAGTAATATAATTAATTACAATAATATTAAATATATTAGATTTTTAAATTAAATTAACTCTTTTCAATACTTTTTTCTTTAAAGGTTGACTTCCAAAAATATTTGTTTAATTAAAGGAGTAGAATGTCTTTCAGTCTTTCAGATCCAACAACTTGGTCTTGACATTTTTGAGTGAGTCATCAAAGCAACTTTATGTATACAGAATAATAAAAAATAATTATACCTCTGACTTGACTTCCCACAATTCTTTCAATCCTATACCATATGATTGGGGTTCACAGTTCTCTCGGAGGTTGAATTTTTTGGAGACCATCTTTGTCAAATGACCATGACAACCTAAAAAATGTTAATAATAGTAAGCATTTAGCATTGCATTTAATGTTATTTATCTTAGGTTCTCTGATGCCCTACTTTTTATAATACTTTCTTAGATTTTATTTAAAACTAAGGACTCACCCTAGCTACGCTTCATTTGTCCCTAGTTACGTTTTATTGTTAAGAATAGATTTCTTAGAGGTGAGATATTTTCCCGCAGTATTCTATATATTGATCCAGATCATTAAGCTATCATCATACCAAATTTCATCAAAATCTGTCCTGTGTTTTTCTCGAGATACATTCACAAACGTACAGACAGACAATAATTCTAAAAACTATAGATTCGGCTTCTGTATTGATAATAATGACTATTTCAATAAGATTTTCCAAAAAATATTGAATGTACAGATTTGACTCAGTTAGAATTTTATTATATGTATAGAAGACCTAGTTCTTTTAGAAGTCCCAAAAAAACTAGAATTTATGGAGCAGAACATAAGCAGACTGTAGTGCTGGTTATGAACACTGACAGAACTAAAATAATGACCAATTCCATTAGGCCATATCACAATCAAAGACATTTTTATAGTATTTAAGTTACTCTATATATTACTCTGGTAATATTATTTTTATCAAATTTATTTAAAAAGTTTTATGTTATTTAAAAAGCATAATATAATAAATAATGAAAAATAGTAACCTTCAGCAAATATAGTGATTTTGGAATGGAACTCCATGCCTCTTTCAAACATATCTTTAGGACTGCCGTCTTTAGCTATACCAACATCTCCTGTTGCTACCCCTTTAAGAGATCCATCATCTCGGAAGATCAGATCTGCTCCTGCACATCCAGGCCATACCTATAATATATAAATAATTACTTATAAATTAATTTTATTTTAACTTATTAATTAATTTTAGTTACTGTATTGTAAGTGTTAGGGATCAGTTATACATAGATAGATATAACCTTAGAATAGTTACGGATATCCGTTTCATCTCTAATTTATATACTCTTAGTTTTTATTTGTAGTAACTTTCTTCATCTTCATCATGTCACATGGAATGGAGAAAACAAACTCTGCCTTTAAAGTTAAACAAAAACTCCCCATTGACCATGTTTCTTTGTGTTACTATGGTTTTCTTTTTTATATAAGCAGTACCAAGAAGAGCATAGAGTATATTTACCTCAGCACCAACAGCCTCAGCTTGTTCAGACAACCATTTCACTAAATGGCCCAATCTGACTACATAGTTTCCATGATTGTAATTAGGTAGACCTGAAAAAATGTTATTCATTAATTGTATACATGAAATAATTGAAATATCATAATATTTTTTTGGTAATGCATATCTACAAAAATCTTTGAAATGAAAAAGATTTGTATTTTGATTATTTTTTTTAATTGAGAATTGCGTGTTTTTTTTAGCAATAATTAACATCGTTAAATATATTGTTCATCGTTATAATTTTAAAAAAAATATCCAGCTCCAAAAAGCTATAACTTAGTATAAAAATTTAGTTAAAATTATCATACCAATATGGATACTTTAAATGCCCCCTATTCCGCACGCTTGGCGTGACGTCAAAGTATCATACATAGAAAAATGACGACTTTAGTTTGTAGCGACAAAATCGTTAATCGCCATTTTATGATAATACTTTGACGTCATGTTCGATCTGACCAATGGCGTGCGTTTCAACTACTTTGAATTTCTCACCTATAATTGCACTTTTTAATAATTATTTTCTTTATCAATAAGAAATTACATAAAAAAAATATTGATATAGGCTTCATTCAAAAGCAATAAAGATTATAAAAAAATCACTTTTAGTTAAATCACTTGCATATTCCCTATATATAAAAAATAAAAATAACTATAGAGTTTTACTTTTATTATAAACTATCAAAGCAAAAATATTATTCATACCTGGGAATACTGGAAGTGGTATCCTCCCACTTTTAGTCAGCAAACCAAACTTATCAGATGTAACCGGTGTGTTTATCGGTGCTCCTTTCTCTTTCCAATCTGGTATTAGTTCATTTAATGCTATGGGATCTACACAAGCCCCTGACAAAATGTGACCGCCAGCCTCTGCTGCCTTTTCTAATAATGTTACTCTAACCTCCTTTAATAATAAAATATAATATAATATTGGCATAAGATTAGTGCATATTATGACTGAGCTTCACTGTTTGTTCTTTTTTTTAGAGCTATATCTGATGTAATAAATTTATTTTATATACACATATAAGAATTGCTTATTTAAAATTAATAGATATGTGTTTTATTGCTGCTGAGGGCCTATTTTAAAGTTTTATTACATACTTCTTATTTTTTTATAAATAAGACTACAAAAGGTATATTAGTAAGGAGGACAGGACTATAGATCAATATCAAAATACATTTCAATTTTAACATATACATAATACATACAGCCCCCTTTTCTTCTGCTATTTGCCGAGCTCTGATAGCAGCTGCCATACCTGCAGGGCCACCTCCAATGATTAAAATATCTGTCTCTTCGGCAATCCGCTCCATACTTATATCTATAATGTAGAAAGTTGGTATTATTTAAAAAAAATATTTTCAATATTCAGAATTATCAAATGTATAAAATAAGGAGCAATTAAGCCTTTTTTTCATAAACACAATTTTAATGTAAAGTTTTATAAATTTTATGCAAGTATAATATCATAGTTGATAAAACAGATTTTGTTTGTAGTACCAAATTTATTATCAATGTAAACATTAGATAATAACCGCTATTAAAAAGTGAGTGACGTAAAAATAAAACAATCTAAAGTACTTTGCACTCACCTTTCCATCTTGGGTCTTTATCACGGGGATGAATTGTATAATGAGTAGTTATCTTGGGGTAAGCATCTGAATATAGTCTTCGAGCAGCACTTGTTAGCCTCCCCACTAACAAAATTATCCACAATTAACACTCTTAAAAGTTAAAACAATATTAACGAAATCAAAACAAATGTGTATCAAATGAACTTTGAACTTCTATATTTGAAATTATATTGCGTAATGAAATCTGTAAACCCTTAAAAGTTAAATGGTTCTAATAATATGCAAATGGAAAAAAAGTGTTTAATGTAAATAATCTAATAAATAACAAAGAATTTTCAAAATATTTTGAAACAGCTGATCGGACACGTCGTGACACAAAATGTGTTGAATTGTAATAAAGAAGTAAATAAATATGTACAAATTTATCGTATAGTTGTAATTATTTATTAATAATAATTTGAACACCAAAAATATATTCGGTACATTTAAAAAAAATATTTTTATTTACCCTGACGAGCCGAACTAACAATCGCTGCCGCCATCTTTAAAGTTTATAAAAACATACGTTCCGTTACCCGTATTCGGTATTCTGTATAATCGGTATAGATAAATTGTATTCTCGCAACATAAAACAAAATTAGCGCTTTATTTTTTAATTAATTAAGATTTGAAGGTTTATTAATTATTTATTTAATAGATAGAACAATTTAAAAAGAAATAACCCATTTTATTAAAATATTTAAAGATATTATTATCATTTTTAAAGATATTGTATTAACATTTATGCCTACTAAACTTGATACAATATCAAATATTATCAAATAAAATATGTACAACGGAATGTAATGTAGAGGGAAATCATTATTTTGAAAAAGTAGGTATGTAAACTCTATTTTCCAATTACAGAGCATAATGCCGCACTATGGCGCACAAAAACGAACAACGCAAAAAAACAACTTTCAACAAACAACAATTTTTTTTGGTATCCGTTGCGCGAATCTTGCCAAAGCAGTAATTTTCAAAGTGCTCGATTGTGCGGAGCGTTGCTGTAGTTAAAAAATGTAAAGATGAGCATTATGTCGCATAATGCGATTTAGTACTGTAATTGGAAAACGCCCAAATATCGTATGCGTAAAATCGGAAATCTCCAAAAATTCGAGAATGCTGTGATATTTTGTCATTTTTATGTGTTGTTACATGGAGAAGGTTTTAATTTTTATTCTTCTGCTTCAACTTGTCCATAACGGCTGCATGGCGATGCAGCGCAGATTAAACCGATTACAATAAAATTTGGTACACCCACAGTTTGTACTTTGCCACAGTAATTGAACAAAAATTGTCTGCAGCTCGTAAATTATTTTGCTACTTAATTTAGTGTAAATTACACAATGAACTGTCTAAATTGCTTAATACTTTAAACTCGCTACTAGACGGCCGCTTAAATAATAATATGACCTTTATAGATATGTACTTGGCTTTGTACGCACTACACATTTCTCTCATTGGCAATAAATGTAAACTATTTCAAAAGAATTGAATTAAAAATCATTATTTTCTGAAAAAAGCACTAAAGAGTAAAAAATAACTGAATGGTAGTTTTCATTTACTATACATACCTAATCAAATATTTTCGAAATCGGTGCTAGCCCATACAAAGCAAAGCACACCGACTTCGTAAATATTTGTGTTTTTTTTGTGTTTAATTTACAGTTTTTGTTTGAAGTCGGTTTTTATTTTTTTGTTAAAAAGTTTTTATTTTTCCCTTTTTAGTGTAGACAGTAGTAGCAAAGTAAGAATTCTAACTTTAAACTTGTCAAATCAAGCAAAATAAGCCCAAACTCAAAGTATCTACTATTAGCCGTTGAAGAGTTCCACCTATCCACCTTCTGGCCTTACCATCAGATCAGGTCAACTATACCGAACCACTGTACTATCAACGGAAATAGAAACACTTGCAAAGTTTCAAGTCAATATGACAATTAGAAGTAGGTTAAATTCATCATTAACTATTTTTCCACCCTTAGGGGTGGTATTTTTTTTTGAAATTTAAATGGGACCAATCTGGAAGTATACACTTTCAAATAACACAAAAATTGACCAAATCGGTTAATAAATGACGGAGTCCTGAGGTAAGAAACATAAAAAAAACAGTCGAATTGAGAACCTCCTCCTTTTTAAGTCGGTTGAAAATTAGTTCGACTAAATTATATTTTTTCAAAACACCGAAACAGATAAATAGTTTTAATTTAAAAATAGTATAATTTATTGAAAACTACCAAAACGGCTTTTCTCAAGTGCAAAAATCAAGAATACAGGTGAACTGGTATGTAGAAAATCTAAAACAATTTAGAGTTTAACACTTTTACTAAAACAGTTAATAAAATGATTAGTATTTATAGTTTAAGTACCTACTTGTTACTTAATTTATTTATTAGCCGTTCGATGATCCTAAGCTCGAAAGGATATTTATAAAATGCTATTGTAAACAAGGAGATGGTAAATGAATAAACATCTAATTTAAAATTTTATTCTCTTTATTCTCTTTATTTTTATTTTTCTTTGAAGAAGGTCAGAACAATGGATAAGTTCTTATTATATATATTTTTTTATAAATTAGATAATTGTGTATTCTCTGTCATTTTCATGTAGTAGCTGGTAGTAGTTTAGGTTGTTACAATTTCTTACTATCTACTAATCTATTATATATAAATCTAACATATAAATATCTCGTGTCACGGTGTTTGTGGTCGCACTACTCCGAAACAGCTCCACCGATTTTAATGTTTTTTTTGAAGTGAAAACTTCTATATGCAGGTTTGGATAGGGAGTAAATTCATGGAAACCGTCATCGACATGGTCACGTGACGTGTTAACGCTAACACTCAAGATGCCGATAGATGTCAAAACCAGATAAATATTAACAGTTTTAATTTACAAATTTTGATTTAAGATCAAACGATTAATTTGAATATCCAAACATAACAACTGTTTGTTTATAGTTTCAAGTTTTCACTTCTGTCGGCAGTCCTCATGTGACTACTTTTTTCGTTATATGATAGGTATGAGAATAAGTCGTATATTTTCACCCTTCTACCCCCACCCCACATTTTTAAGTATATAGGGGTGAATCCGAGCGGAGCGAGGGTAGTCTCTAGTCTAATATATAAAATTCTCGTGTCACAGTTTTCGTTGCCATACTCCTCCGAAACGGCTTGACCGATTTTGATGAAATTTTTTGTGCTTATCCGGTATCTATGAGAATCGGCCAACATCTATTTTTCATCCCCCTAAATGTTAGGGGTAGTCCACCCCTAAATTTTTATTTTTATTTTTTAGACAAAATTTTTAATTTCTATTTTTTTGTGATACAACATACAAAAATACATACAATCCTCAATTTTCACCCTTCTACGATTAACCCTTATTTTACTAGGAAATTACTAGGAAATTATTTATATGGCAAAACAACGTTTGCCGGGTCAGCTAGTAATATATAAATATCTAGGCTATGTTATTTATTTACTTTATAACTAAAATATTTATATTATTCTACTTTAATAAGGCAAGGATAAGGTCGGAATAAAAAATGAACGAAATATTCACTATTTTATTGTTATAAAAGAAAAACTTAGCATAATTTTTAGAAAATAAATCATAATTCTAAAGCAATTTACTTCACTGGTTTCATCTGCCACAGACCATCGTTAAGGTAATGACAGTTTTCTATTCCCACGCCTTTATTAACTTTAGCTCTGGAAAAAAAAGTAAAGCTAGATAGATACATGACCAGTACTACAACGTTTTGATCAAAAGTTATATTAATATTAGACAGATAAGGAATAAATACATTTTTGTTTATTTTTTTCTTTAAAGGAAATATAAAAAGGAATACTTTATAAGTATAGAAATACGCCGTATAATAAACTTTTTTACATATAATTAAATTTTACCTACATATTATATAATTATGTAGAAGAGATGATTAAATCATTTTATACTTATATATTTTTAGATTCATCGTCAATACAAAATTTATTGTGTAATCGAAATTTATTTTAAAATATACCCAAAAATAACATTAATAATTGAATTAATAGTATAAAAAATGTTTTAAAACACAACAAAATCGAAAGTGCCTAATATTTAACACCATTCAGACAAAGAAAGACAATAGCATTCCCAAGGAGGGTTGACGTCAGGCAGGCGGTCGGTCGTAAAACTTTTGCCAAATCCTATCAGCAGTACACTGAAGATGTACTGCGCCGACCCCAAGTGATTTGGGAAATGGGCAGGGAGAAGAAGATATTTTTAGATTCATCATGATATAATCACAGAGGCTATCTTTCAATAATAATATTATTATTTATTACTAATTAATATTTATAGTAGCAGCAGTGCCCACACAGGGCGTAGTCTGTAAGTCAGACCGTTTATTTATTTAATTTAATTGGTATCGTGAATTTTGATGTTTAGTGTATTGATGTTATATTTAAAGAAATTTCATGTTTGCTAAGCAAATATAGCATAGAATTTCGTACAAATGAAATACATAGTTTATCTGGGGTAAACATGTGCGTAAGTGAAGAAGACAAGTGAATTAAGCGATTTTAAAGGCACGTGGCACTGTGGCATAGCAAATATATCAAAATATGGTAAGCAAACTTACATATCATCAGTAGACAAAGAAGTAATTCCCACAGCTAAAGCATGTTGTTTCCCTTCCGCCATGACAGCAACCACACTGCCCTTCTCTACACTCGACATCCTCGCGCCGGGGGAGGTCAGTCCCGGGCACATTATGTTAGCACCGCTGAGAACGAAACGTATCGCACCTTTGTCTACTTGTTGCATCGGTAGGAAGAAGGGATCTGGAAAATAATTCATAATTAGCATTTTGATCTGAAAAAAAAAACAATGTCAAATGGTAATGTGATTTTACGTACGTATACTGTATATGTAGTGTTTGGGGAATATGATATCTAATAAACTTCTATTCACGGTGAAATCGCTGAACGGATTTGGACGTCATTTAGTACACAAATAACTCACATACGCTATGTTCAGGCACCTAGGAGCACATCCGAGCGAAGCAAGGGTAAGTCTAGTGATATATAAATAACAAAACTTAAAAGACTGACGTTTTATCAGGGAAAATCTTAGTCTAAGTCTTTAGATATACCTAGACGAATTTTATCCAACTTGGAATATCAAACTTTATCCTAGTTGTTCGGCGGTGCTTTTGAGTTTAGTTTCTTAACTTTCTCCAGAGAATAAGAAAAATTTAATGTGAGACTCTCTTTACGTTAACCATTTTTAGAAAAGAAACAATTATTATTATTGAAGTGAAGTTTCTTTAGAACCGTTGTGATTTGAAACTCGATGAACCGGAAATGCGACACGAGAAAGCGACAAACATATAAATATATAGGATTAAGCCGGCGAGAGAATGAGATAGAATACATTAGACAGGAAGTGGAAAATAATACTGAATAATAATTATGTTACGCAAAATAACTTTTAAACTTGGTAAAACAAACTAAACCTTACACTTATTTGAAATATTATATTTATATTTTTATAATTATTATTACTTATAAAAATCAATATATATTACTATGGGATGAATGTGTATAAATTAAATAAAAGCTAATATGACTAATTGTTGCCATAATAACTGTTGTTATTGTCTGATAAATGATATTATATAACATTATATTCTTTCGGTATAACATATATCATATTCTATAAATATATAATTATAATATGCCCAATAGCAATATGCCTTATTTAATTATAATTGATTGATTTGTTTTAATTTAATTGCGATGTATATATATTATATACTCTGCTCGTAAAGGTTACACGCACACATTTTTTTTCAAAAAGTCTTATTAATATTCATATATTTTGTATTTTTTTTTAACATTAGGTGCCTAATTTACTAAAGAATAAGTAGCTCATCTTTGCGACGTGAACTTAAGGTAACAAACCTAAGAGTACAAAATATTTTTTAGAAGCCTTGAGTTCTTAATTAATGTAGATATGCACAGTCGTCTGTACAAAATACTCGTACTTAATATATAATAAATAGATATATGACAGTAAAAATATATCAATTACATAAGTAATACTGTAATAAAATTCTAAGGTAAATTAATATTACAGGTACGTGATACATAGTATAAAAAACAATTATACAAATAAAATAAAATTATATACTTTTAACTTTTATATGTATAATATTTACGCTATACTTATAGGTATATGCGCAGAGCATATTTTTAGGTATACTATTATTTAATTATTTACATTTAAAATAAAACTGATTTTGAGCATCGCCTATTATCTAATGAAAATTATCCCTCAATTTAACTAATAATTGAATTTCATACATTTGTGCAAAAGCCTTAATGTCGGCATCCATGGTCCTTCCCGGTGGCGGAAGAACAATAGTTCTCCAGCGCTATTCACCATAATTTCTAAATGATCATGGCTGAAAAGGAAACAAAATACATAATTATTAATTATTTTTCTATAATAAAAAAAAACTGAATCATTACTACAATATATTACATAAATTTCGCAAAAAAAATATTTTTTCAATCTACATTTTAATTATTACGTGCTAATGAATATTAATTACCTACTCCATTATTTTAATGTTTGATGGATATTATACGTTTACGCACAACACGTTTTCGTACATAAATGGAAAAACCAATCCTTGTAAACTTTTAGATATAATGATAATACAACAAAGACAAGGGAAGAAATGGCACAAAATTAAAAAAAAACGTGTGTGTGTGTGTGTGTAGTGTGTACTTATGTACGCACGTAAGTAGTTATACTTCTTTGGCGTAAGAGAACAAAAATAGCTAAAGATTTCATGCCTTATGTCACAACTCTCTATTTGTAAAAGGAATGCAGCTAACTTCGTCATGTCGCTTTTTGGCTGTCGGTGTCGGTTGATCGTAAAAATTTTACTCTTATATATTTTTTTGGATAAATAACGTCCAGGGTAAAACTATAATTGTCGATCGATTGTACTTAAACAGCGAAACGTCAATATTTTATTATTTAGATTTCAATAGGTAGGTACTCAGAGACGAGTTAGGACTATCATATTACTTGCAATCCTATTATTATTAGTCTATCCTGTTTATTTGTCCGTGTCTTCACACGGACGGACAACAGTGCGTCCGTGTCTTCCACTTTGAAAGTACCTTTTAAATTGTAATAAGTAGGACAAAGCTAAGCATCGTACCAGTCCCGACCAACGACCACTCAGCCCATCCCAGGGTAAGTGGTCGTTGGTCCCGACTCACGAAGATTTCTAAAGTAAAATACAATAAATAATTTTATACCTAACTTAAAGATAAATAATAACAAAACTATCTTTTCGGGTTTTTTTCTCGGATTTATTTTAAAAACGGAAAAAATCGAAAAGAGGAAAAAATGTAAAATATCAAATATTCGCGTAAATATAAGAAACTATTAATTAATAAGAAATAAAATAATGTTTGGCTAACATTAATGAGATCCAAAAACGCAATTTTGCCATATACTTTTATTATAACATTCTCAAGATCTCAGCGAATCTAATGACAAAACTCATTTAGCCAATTCGAATACGAAAATATTCAATTTCATGCTACGTAACAAAATCTGCTATTTCTTCCATATTGAATTTAATTTAACGTTTACTATTTAATGTACAGATTTGACTCAGTTAAAATTTTATTATATGTACATATGTATTATGTATAGATAGATATAGATGAAAGAAAAACAGACTTAAGGTAATATATGTAATATTACCGTGCTTAAGACGGATATTATGTTAATTATGAGATACATATATACCTATCTAAAATATATAAAAAAGTCAATCACCGAGAAAATAATGTAGTGAAAGTGAGACTTCTGTAATAACCGGACCAAGATAATACTAATATTATAAAGAGGTAAAGTTTGTAAGTTTGTGAGATTGTGAGTTTGTGACGTTGTAGGTTGGTAATCTCTGGATCTACTGAACCGATTTAGATGAAATTTGGTAAGAAGACAGTTTGAGACCCTGGAAAGGACATAGGATACTTTTTATCCCAAAAATTATCCCTTAAGAGGGTCAAAATGGGGATGAAAAAGTTTGTATAGGGAATTGGTTCCCTAGGGACGAACCCGAGCGAAGCGAGGGTAGTCGATAGTATAATATAATAATATGTATTTACAATGCAAGCGACTTGCTTGATATACCTATACATAATTCAATAATATACCTACGTCACATATCATATAATACTACAGTAGTCCTACGTTATAGAATATTAGTGTTGACCTCCAGCCACCCTTCGTGACGATTTATATCTAATGATCTAATCTCATAATGTCACTCTGTCGTACATGTCTGATAGTCATGGCATTTTGCTCTTTATAATCATTACATCATGGGATATAATACGAGCTGTATGAATTTTGCATAAGTATTGTTCAGCCACGTGGTTAATCGTGTTAGTTGAATACAATTTTGGTGACCTATCAATTTACTATGATTACTTTTAGCTTATGTAAAATTCATAAAATATTTTAGATTTTATTTTGTTATACGACGTTGCGTACGAGAATCTCCAAGACGCGGGGAAAATTGATAAAAAATCGATCGATAGATGTCTTTCGACAACTAGTTATTTCACTCAGACCTGCAGGTTCCCTTACGAGTTACGACGTTTTTCTTCATCGTATTATCGTAAGTGATATTTATTTCAGATGTGCGAGACTCGGGTTTGAACCCGCTTCATTTGGTTTTCCAGCGAGGGCGTTACCACGGGCTGCCACTGCTTATTTATAAATATGTATCGCTTATATGTGACGTACCAGAATCTTTATGTAATACAAACCTTTATTAATAGGCGGTCAATATTTATAATACCATTAATTCACACACAACGTGGTACCAGATTATATGTATTAAAAAATATGATTTTTCATTGTTTATTAATCAGACAACAAACAAAATTAACTAAAATTAACAAATATATAAAAACTGTGCATACAATTACCATTTTACAATTCGGAAGGTGTCCTTCTTAGGCAACACCTGGTCAATGTGGTTCTCCAGATGAGGATACAGCTCTAGAAGACGGGAGCGGATCCCCTTCTGCACTGACGACTTGAGTTGTTGCACGCCAGAAATGCTCTCTTTCTCATCGAATCTGAAAAGATTCACAATCAGAAACATTAAAGCAATTCTTGGAATAGCAATAATCACACTACATTATAAAATTATTGTTGAACAATATCTTACATTTATTGTACATACGACAAAACTTATGTAGTGACCTACGTATAATATGACGTGTACATTTGATACTCTTTCCGTTGAAACGGTTTGACGCATTTGAATTAATTTAATTTAAAATTATGAAAATTCCAAGAAAAAATTAGGTCAGTTTAATATATACTTTATATCGAAAGGTATACACACAACAAAGCAAAGCCTGTATTGTGAGCAGGGTTCAGAAACCCGTTCTATTTTTAAACCGGTTTTGGTCATTGACTCCGACCCGAAAGGCTTTTCTAAACCGAAAGGTTTAGGTTACGTTTTTAACCGGATAAATCCGGGAGAAAGGTTTTTGACGAATTTAGGTTCCATGAACAAAACTAATAAATAATAATTAACCATTCAAGCATCTTTCTAGGATGCATACACGTTTCTTACTTATGAATGAATTAACCGGTTTATTTCGGTATTAAAACCGAAATCTAGCCTTTCTCTAAAATAACAGTTAACAATTATTTCGGTTCTACTAAACCGTTATTTTTTATTAACCGGTTAATGAACGAAATATGAATAAACCGTTACGTTACCGGAATTAACCGGTTATTTTTCAACCGGTTCCGAGCCCTGAGTGTGAGTACCACAACTTGCTTTATTAAATAAGTATTGTTGCTTTCAAATAAAATTTAATTTGGTAATAAATGTATTACACATATAGACTATGACCTAGAGCTATACATAGGCAATTGTTAGTGATAAAATTTGCCAAAAGGTGGTGCAAACTCATCTTCTTCTGGCCTTTTTCCATCTTTATTTGGGGTCGGTTCTCCTAATCATTTATCTCCAAACATGTCTTTCCTGGGTCGTCCTTGGGTCAACATTGTTTGTAGCGCACTGCGGCGACGGGTTCCGCTATGGGTTGAGTAGAAGTCTCACAGTACCCTACCCATTGACGACCGGTAGGGACCCCATGATGGGTTTCCTCACCGTAAACAAAAAAAACGGGTCAACATTGTCAAAATTAGGTATTATTTTAAAAGAGCAACTGTTGAGTTTCTCGCCGGTTCTTCTCAGCAGAAAACTTCATTCCGAGCCGGTAGTAGCTTCCTCACGGACTGACTACACTGACATTTAACTTTAACTTAAAATGTAAAATTAACGATTCAAAAGAGCTTGTAAAAGTCTATTTAAATAAAGTATATTTTGATTTGATTTTAAATACAAAAGGCACCTAGGGGACGCAGCTGAAGGAATCCGGGATAAGTCGCTTGTATGATGTAATCGTCAAAAATTGTACGTTTCATTGCACGTATGTATCATCATAATAATATAATCATCTAATAAGTACTTATATAACTGTTTTTTTTTGACGTTTTTGTGATAAACGCATAAAGAATACGGTGTTTTAGCCTCGATTAGTTTTGCCATAAAAGTTACTGTAGTTTATGAAGAATATATATGGATGTTGCATGTTAAGAGCGAGTTTAACTTTTAATAAACTTTCATTTTGAAATCCACATTTAAATTTTGAAAATAACTTTTAATGTACATGATTTATTAAAATATAATATTCTTTATAGTTTTACAGATTCAGACGTTATTTATACAATATATTCAGCACAAATTGTACACGATTAGTTTTTTTTTAAATAGATGGATTTACATAATTACAATTTATAATTATTACACAGTCCGCAATCCAGTAACTCATAACCTTACGCTTACGTATGCAATGTAAATGTTATTTGGCAACATTTTATCGCATATTATATTTCATCAAATAACTTTTTTCTAGTTATCTTTAATAATATAATTTATTGTTATCGGCACTATACTATTGTTTTCTCCGATATTATTTTAGAATAACTATGATACATAAAATATCATCATACGGCATACCGACTAGTTAGATCTGTTTGATAATTAAGTTAGGGTTGGTATATATATATGTAAGGTACCCTTACTAAGACCCAAAAATAAAAGGAATCCAAAAAACATTTTTCTTCTTTATAATAATAATATTAATAATCTAATTTTTACTGGCTGCTTATTACGGTTCGACTAACAACAATTCTTTAAAAGTAAGCTACACAGATGGATATATAGAACCGTCTACACTCTTGGAAATCCTTAAGAACTTTAAAAAATAATATATTATGTACTATCGATTTACCTACAGCTGGGTGTGTCCTAGTTACTTGCATACGTGTTACTCCAGGTCACAATCTATTGTTACGCCAAATTTCAGCCAAATCAGTTCAGACTTGTTTTTCTTTGAACGTGAAGGTGAAACAAACAATAAACACACATACAAACTTTCGCATTTATAATAGTAGTCTAAAATTCACAGCATAGTTAATTTTTGGTTTATAAAATATCAATTTGCTTTCCAATTCCCTACAGGTGTTGGCTAAAAGATAAAGTCTATCTGGAGTCAATTACTGTTCGTCCTACATTTAGCCCACCAGGGAGGGGTTTGCAGTGTGACAACGTCAAGTTCGATTATTTCCTCTGTCAATTCATTATTTATAAAATCTGAATATTTTTGCTAAAATCAATGTATCTAAGTTTTGTTTTTATTTATTATCTGTGAAAATTTGATGGGTTTAGAGTTATTGTAATGTTTTGTAGTGCAAGAATTGTATAATATGTTTATTTACAAATTTGTTATCTATAAAAAAATTTACTTTTGCTAAATAAAAAAATTCACCTATGCTTCAGTTCAAAAACTTTGTAGGCATTACCGTACCTACATTTGAGTTTAACATAGACTCAGGCTATATGTAGGTATCATTATATATTTCAATCCTTCATTGGTTCTAAGCTATACATCGTCCAATTGTTTATCTACATTATTTTGGAAAAATATTCAATTGTATAAGTTATTACTAGCTATATAGTGTACCTGCTGGACCAAACATTGCTGTGATCAAAAACCCTGCATCTATTTTGGTCGGTATAAAAAATAAAGCACTGCAAATTGCAACACTATCTAATGGCGATTTGTACCAAAATAGAGAGCTTAAAAACCTTGTCCATATAAAAATACTTTTATATCATATGTCAAAGCAATCGATAGGTACAGAACTTTCGGAGATTTACGGTTGCACAAACAAACACTTAGGTATTTTTCCATTTATATACACATAACTTAATCAGATATATATTACTTTCATATATAATAGCTAAAAAATGAATTATATATGTAGGTCATTAGGTCAATATCGAGGGTTTGCATTATTTTCCTAAGCACGTGTTTGTGATTGCAAAGGCTTCCAAGTTCAGCTGATCACGCGTCAACTTTCGCAACTAAATGGCAGTTAAATATACTTTTTTATATTTACACAAATATCTACTATAAACCTTGAAATTAATCGTATTAAGATATTCCGTACTTAAAATAATAATATGAGCTTATAAACAAAAAAAAAATACTAGTATCTTCGTGGGAAATTATTATTGGTTTTAGCTATTAAATTCAAATATTCTGCGATAAAGGAGCCAACGTTGATACTTGATGGGTAACAAAAAGATTATCAACAAACATATTTTCGTATTTATAAGACAAGTTAGATTTAATAAATTGACATCGTTCTTGCCTCATTCGGTAGCTGTCAAAAGTACAATTCAATTTGAACAAATGATTTACGTAGAACAAATTAACACTTTTATTTTAGATACAATGCACAAGTAGAAACTGGAAAATAAGGTTTTGTTTAACACTCCGTAGTCCGAACAAAACCATGTATAGCGTATAAAATTTATTTTTATTATCCTTATTTCAGTACTAATGGGTAATACTATAATCATATAATCATGTAGTATCAGTTACACGACGAAGCAGGAACATCCTTTTCCTTTAAAGTCGGTTAAAAATAGCACATATTACATACCGTCTGTATCAACGTCGTGTCATAGCGGGGGACCTATATCACGACGGGCGTTAACACTTAAATTGGTACTATTAACAGGCTCATAGCTTTGTACAAAATCGATACAATGATATCATCAGTTTGTTTCAGTTATTTTACATTAGTTAGCTTTTATTTCTTACACGCTATAGCCTCACTTCATGCCAACAGGCAACAACAATCAACTTCAAAAAAGGTGGTTGTAATTCCGATGTACTTTTTGTAATAAAATTACGCGATGTACGCTTATTTTTAAATAATATTAATTATTCTATTTTTATTTCTCGTACATATTACAAGAAAATATGTATATATGACACCACAGAAATTTCTACTCGCCAGAATGTATTAATTAATTTTAAGTTAAACTAGAAATCGGTGTAACTTATAGGTCAAAGTCACTACTTGCAAAGAAGGCAGCCTTGTTGACATTTCACTTAATACTCCAAAACAAATATTAATATAGGTGCATTAAGAAAATAAAGTTTAATAATGAAAACCTACAGATAACAATTCAAATTTCTTTGTTTATATACAAAAAAAAAATGCTATAAATATACAAGTTTCTCATTTTTTGCCTCTCGGAGACTACTCATGCATATTTCATTCCGAAGTAATTGACCGATTTTCAGTCTGTCATTCAATTTATTTGCGTACACTGGAGTTTAGTTCGCAATAATACACAAGACATCTGATGTTATTATCTGATAAAGGGTGTTACAAATTATTATGCATTTTGCGCAAATAAATATGTTGTTGGGACATCAAATCACAGCACCATCTAGTTCTATGGTAAGCTACATGGCTTGTGTTATGGATATCAGATAGTTGATACACTACACATAGCACACACATTCGTGCTCATCACACAAATGAATCCCCCCAGCGGGACTCGAACCCGCAACCACTGACACAGCAAGTAGGGTCACTACAAACTGAGCCAAACGTGTTGTCTGAGCAAAAAAGGCATCTTTTACAAAAGTTTTATGAAAACATGGAGGATATTTAAATAATATTCTTATATTCATTACACCACACAAAGGATGAAGA